TATATAAATACTTTATATAACCTCGAGCAGAAAAACTGCATTGTAAAATTGCATCCCCTGTATATATATATATATATATATATATATATATATATATATATATATATATATATATATATATATATATATATATATATATATATATATATATATATATATATATACATATATATATATATATATATATATATATATATATATATATATATATACATATATATATATATATATATATATATACATACATATATATATATATACATATATATATATATATATATATATATATATATATATATATATATATACATATATATATATATATATATATATACATATATATATATATATATACATATATATATATATATATATATATATATATATATATATATATATATATATATATGTATATATATATATATATATATATATATATATATATGTATATATATATATATATATATATATATATATATATATATATATATATATATGTATATATATATATATATATATATATATGTATATATATATATATATATATATATATATATATATATATATATATATATATATATATATATATATATATATATATATATATATATATATATAAGACAAAACTTAATGCATATACCAGATACCAGGTTAAAATTAAGAGGTCTTTACACCAGATCCTTGATTTCATGATCGATTAATTTGAAAAAACAACATTTTCCCTTATGATTTGTAATAATTTGTTTAGTGCTGTGTAAAAGGTATATTTAAAGTTTTTTTTGCAAAAGCATTTAAAGTATGTTCTAGTGGTTATATAGAAAAATAATTCCCTTATAAGAGTTTTTCATAAATATTTTTGTAGAAAATTCTTGGGAACAACTTCTAGTCATTGGGTAAACTTTTCAACCTTTTTGTGCTTTTTTAACCATTTTATTTCTTAACTTTAAATTCTTGCACTAGAAGCTTGTTCATTTAACAAACCTTGTATGGCTAAAATCAAAGGAATTTAGAGGTTTTCAGCTATTAGTTTTTAAAAAATATATTTGTGATACATTTTTTAAAACTAATTTAAGAGTGAAAAATTACTTATAATAAATTATTAAATTCTTTATTTTTAAATTTCGTTTCAGTTTCATTTTCAAAAAAGAAAGACTATATCTGAATTATCTTGGAATAGCTTATTTGCAAGGAAATCAGTCAGATATCATTGGTATATATATGACAAATAAAAAATGAAAAGTAGCTAAAAAATAATAAAAGTCCATTATTTGGTTTTGCTTTTTTTTTTTTTTTTTTAATCTTTGCTTCCAACAAGGCTGCAAGCAACCACTAATTAGTGTTGGAAGTTACTGGAAGAGAAAAGATGAAAAATGTAGAGCAAGATAAAAGATTCCAAGTTATATGGATCAGGAAAGCAAAATGAAGGAAGCGAATTCCAAAGAACTGATGTTCAAGGAAAAAAACTAAACGAATAAAAGTTTTTGGAGCACTTAGGAACAGTCACAGAAAAAGGATAAGACTTATTTGAATGACTTAATTGACATAAAAATGAATTTTAGTAGATGGCACAAGAGACGCTAGCTCTTTATAGCAGTAACCATTATAGTATTTGTAGTAAAGAGAAAAAGAAGCAACATTACGACGATGTGATAATGATTGCAGGTTGGCTGCAAGAGCAAGTCTAACTATTTTTACAATGCGTTTTTTCAACTTGTCTAAAAAAGAAAAGGCATCATTAGAAGATCCGCCCCATATATGGCAACAGTATTCCATACAAGGCTGAATTTGAGATTTGAAGAGATAGAGAATAGAATACAGAGTTAGAAAGTGTCGATAAAGAAATGCAACATAAACAGATGCAAATTTTGCAACGGATTTGATATAAGGTTTCCAAAATCAGAAGTGAGAGTTAATCCTAGAAGATGAAGGGTAGATCACTCATCGAGTACATTACCGTTCATAAATATAGGAAGGGGTTAATTATTGCGATAATTATTGGCTGAAAAAAATTAAATTTTACCTGAATTAAAGTTCATCAGCCACTGTGAGCTCCATGTTGTAGCAGAAGTGAGATCCTTTTCAAGTTCAAAAGCCCCCTGCAAGCAATCAGAGGGAGTTTCAAAAAAGGATAAAAAGCTCCTTGGGAGCTTCTTATCGTGACAAGAATAAATGGTAGTATCATCAGCGAACAATGCCACCTTAGATGTGAGAATATCTGGAAGATCGTTAATCTAAATTAAAAAAAGTATAGGGCCAAGGATTGAACTTTGAGGAACCCCTGATGTTACAGAATAAAAAGAAAAGTGCTGTCTTTTGAGGACAACTTTTATACTATGATTAGAAAGGAAGGATTCAATAATCTTAAAGGTGTTTCCAGATACACCGTAAGAAGAAAGCTTATGGAGAAGACCAGCATGCTAAACTTTATTAAACACTTTAGAAATGTCAAGAGCGATGGCCTTAACCTCTCCACCTTTATCTAATATGCGATAAAACCTATTGGTTATTACTGTTAGCAAATCAGCCATAGAATGAGAAGATCGAAATCCATATTGATGATCAGAATATAAGTTACTATATTCAAGATGAGAGACCAAATGTTTGTTAACTAAAGATTCAAAAACCTTGCTTATGATAGGAAGAAGACTAATGGGACAGTAGTTAGACAAATCAGATTGCTCTCCAGAATTTTTAAAAATAGGGATAACAGATGCTGCTTTCCAGCAGGCTGGAAAACAAGACTCTGATAAGCACTTGTTGAATAGTTTTGAAAGGATAAACGACAGCTCCATAGAGCACTTCTGCAAGACAGGTATGTTGTCCCGGTCGCAAGCTGTATAAGAGTCGAAGCAGGAAATCACTTAAGATACAGTAGCTGGAGTGACACAGATGTTGAGCAATGGAGCAACTAGTTTGACGACTATATCAAGTAGAACGCAACTAGTGGAATCAAGAGATGATATTGATGAAAATCTTAGCAACCAATTCAGCTTTGTCTTTAGGTGAGGTGACAAAGTCTGAACCATTCAAAGGAGGTGGAGTTACAAACTTGCCCTTATTATTGATACTATTAAAGATTCTCCAGAAGTCACGAGAGCCTAATTTTTGAGATGAAATACGAGATTTTATGATCTGAGAATAACAGGCTTTGGCATTAGATAAAACCTTTTTACAAGGATTCCTAGCAGTAATAAACAGGCATCTGTTTTCTGGAGAATTGTTTTGCTGATAGATAGGGAAGTAATGGTTTTGATTGGCAATTGCAGTAGCACAATGTGAGGAAAACCATGGAGAGGAATATTTCTGTGGTTTTCCATTCAACATATAACAAATTTGATATCATTTTAAAGAGGACGTTTGTGGGCATCTAAATATTTAAGAATTTTTTTGATCAGCAGAACTGGAAGTGCCAGACAACCTGCTGAATGTGCGCAGTGAGTCACTTTTTGAGCTGGTTATTACACTGACTTCCGGTTGAAGAAACAATTTTAAATACTTATCAAAAAATTCTTTAACCCTTTATCTTAAAGGAATCTTTAGGATTTTTTGATTTGATTACTCCTTTAGCTGCTACGAGCAATTCTTGTAGTCACTGTTTTTTTAAATTAAAAGACAAAAAATGCAAATACTTTGATTGGTTTTGTTGATTTTCAAAATTCTTTCTGTAAAAAATAGATATTTTGTACGTGCATATTTTTCAAAAATTTAAAATAGCAGAAAGTTAAACTTTTTTTTGACTGTTAAATGCATTTTTAAAAATTAACCTCAATTTTTTGATAAAACGGAAGTGAGATAAAGATATAGTTTAAAGACATAAAATATTCCTTAAATTATCAGTTATTGTTTCCAGAAAAAAAATTAAAAAAAAAAATTTTCCGTTACAAAAATATCAAAGGTTTTGCGTTTCTTATCTCCCTCCCACGCATGGATGCCAAATTTACATAAAAGTCATAAAAATGCATAAAAAACATTCTAATATATCATATTATGCAATAATATCATGGCATTAACTGTGAAATATATATATATATATATTTATATATTTATATATATATATATAAATATATAAATATATATATATATAAAAATATATAAATATATATATATATATATATATATATATATATATATATATATATATATATAAACAGTTTATATATATATATATATATATATATATATATATATATATATATATATATATATATATATATATATATATATAAACAGTTACCCGTAATTAAGTCAGGGGTTTATATATATACATATATATATATATATATATATATATATATATATATATATATATATATATATATACATATATATAAACCCCTGACTTAATTATGGGTAACTGTAGGAGGTGGTTTATTTTGGGTGGTAAAATCTTCATAATATTGTATAATATATATATATATATATATATATATATATATATATATATATATATATATATATATATATATATATATATATATATATATATATATATATATATATATATATATGTATATATATATATATATATATATATATATATATATATATATATATATATATATATATATATATATATATATAAATCAGTGTTTTTTTGGAAAAAAAAAACAATATTTGCTGTAAAAAATTTAAAAAAAAAAAAGGTCCTCAAATTTTAATTTTAACAGCGCCCAAATACAGTCAGCGCTGTCGAAAATGGTCTAGAATAGCCACTAATATATATATATATATATATATATATATATATATATATATATATATATATATATATATATATATATATATGTATATATATATATATATATATATATATATATATATATATATATATATATATATATATATATATATATATATATATATATATGTATATATATATATATATATATGTATATATATATATATATATGTATATATATATATATATATATATATATATATATATATATATATGTATATATATATTATTATTATTATTATTATCTAATTGTTATATATAGTATATATCATTATGAGTATTCTGCGTAACAGTCGGATTATTTTTCGGCAGGTAGTTAAAATTTTGGTTTTATAATAATTTGTAGTATTTACTTTATTTTTATAAAAAAGTATAAGTTTTATTGTTAATAGGTTAAATATTTTTTATTAGCTCTTTGATAGTGAGTCTTGGACTTATACATATATAGTTGGATGCAAAACAAAAAATAAAGCAGTGATTATTGATCCTGTTGATAAGCAGGTATATGGAATGTAGATTTTTGTCTGAGGATGTTACTTTTTTTTTACATTTTTATAATTGTACATTTTTTTAATTTATATTGTATTTTGTTATTTTTTGCAAAATTTATATAATTTATAAATAGATTCTGTCAAATTTAAAAAGTTATCTTATACTTTATTTTCTGTAAAATTTTGATAGAAATACTGTTTTGCTGCTTTTATTGCCTACCCTGATCTTTTGCCACATTTGAAAACAAATCGGTAATGTCAAATAAAGAACATATTTTAAATTTATTATACATGAGAAATAAATTTTCAGAAACTTCTTTATGGTTTTAAAGAGGTGCATTTTTATCAAGTAGCATCTGTATAAATCATCTTTCATAGGTGAGCAGCTCACCAATGACAGATGCTTTGTTGCTGAATTTTATCAAAGTGCATAATAATTATCTTAATTTTTTTTTTTTTTTTTTTTTATTAACTTGTCACTTTTGATAAATTTTGGAATAAAGGTATTTAGGTGTTTTTTTAATTTCTATTTTATAGATGATTTTGACCGTGTTATGCTGAATTTTTGTCTTATAGACATTTGTTGAAGATTATTTAATATATCATTTATATTTGATCTCAATATAGGTTTCAAAAAGTCTTATCTCAATAAAGATTGCAAAATATTATCACATGTTACTTTAAAGATAAATGACATTCTTTTTTAATTCAATTCTTAAGATAGTATGCTAGACAATTTATGCTTACTTTTAAGTCTTTTAAACATATAGATTTTGATAATGTTTTTATCAAAATTGAGCTCTTTTATCCATCGCCCAATGTTGTTGTCATTGGAGACTTAAATACTTATCACAATAATTGGCTTAGTTCTAGTACTTCTGACACTGCATACTGACATCTCTTACTCAGCTAGTTAACTTTGTGACTCGTTTTCTTGACAGCCCTGATCACTTGCTTCACTCCTTGTTTTGTGTTTTATCACTTGCTTTAGCTTGTGTTTAGTTCTAATGAAAATTATTTATTTCTTTTATTTCATGAGAAAGCTGTTCAAAAAAAAGATTACATTAAATTAAAATGTCTTAAGTTGAAAAAAGTCCAATAAATATATTTAAAAAAAAGTTAAAAAAAAATCTATTTTACTTGAAAGAATAAAATAATCAGGATATTTGATTTGTGTCGTGGTAGCAAATTGATAATTTAAAAAATTTTCAACTTACTCGGATATAATAAGGGTCAAAAATAGACAATAACTTAGCTATTAAATATACTTAGCTTTTTTATCTCAAGCCAAAAATTATATATATATATATATATTTATATATATATGTATATATATATATATATATATATATATATATATATATATATATATATATATATATATATATATATATATATATATATATATATATATATATATATATATAAACATCTTTACTTCCTACAAGGCTGCAAGCAACCACTAATTAGAGTTGGAAGTCGATTAACAATTGACAGTCGACTTAAAAGATTGCAAGTTATATGGATCAGGAAAGCAAGATGAAGGAAGCGAATTCCAAAGAACTGATGTTCGAGGAAAACAACTAGACAAGTAAGAGTTTTTGGAGCACTTAGGAACAGTAACAAAAAAAGGATGAGACTTAATTGAATGACTTAATTGACACAAGAATGAATTTTAGTTGATGGCACAAAAGATGCAAGCTCTTCATAGCAGTAACCATTATAGTATTGTAAAAAAGAGAAAGAGAAGCAACATAAGAACGATGTGGTAATGATTGCAGGTTGGCTGCAAGAGCAGGTTCAACTATGTTTACAATGCATTTTTTCACCTTGTCTAAAAAAGAAAGGGCATCATTAGAAGATCCACCCCATATATGGCAACAGTATTCCATACAAGGCCGAATTTGAGATCTGTAGAGATAGAGAATAGAATCCAGAGTAAGAAAGTTTGAGCTCAATAAAGAGATTCAACCTTAGCAGATGCTAATTTTGCCATGAATTTCATATATGGTTTCCAAGAAGGATCAGAAGTAAGAGTTAATTCTAGAAGATGAAAGGTAGATGATTCATCGAGAACATTACCGTTCATAAATATAAAAAGATCTTAATTATTGCGATAAAGATTGGCTGAAAAAATTTCATCTGAATTAAAGTTTCATCTGAATTAAAGTTCACCAGCCACTGTGAGCTCCATGCTGTAGCAGAAGCGAGATCCTTTTCAAGCTCCAATGCCCCCTCCAAGCAGTTTGAGAGAGTTGGCTTTTTATCATGACAAGAATAAATGATAGTATCATTAGCGAACAATGCCACCTTAGATATGAGAATATCTGGAAGATTGCTAATGTAAATTAAAATGAGTATAGGGCCAAGGATTGAACCTTGAGGAACCCCTGAGATTACAGAATAAGAAGAGTGCTGTCCATCGTGGAGAAACTTTTATACTACAATTGGAAAGGAAGGATTCAATAATCTTAAAGATGTTTCCAGATACACCGTAACAAGAAAGCTTATGGAAAAGACCAGCATGCCCAACTTTATCAAGCGCTTTAGAAATGTCAAGAGCTATGGCCTTAACCTCTCCACTTTTTTCTAATGCACGATAAAACCTATCAGTTATTACTGTTAGCAAATCAGCGGTAGAAATAGAAGATCGGAATCCATGTTAGATTCAAGATGAGAGACATAGTGTTTATTAATTTAAAAACCTTGCTTATGATAGGAAGAAAACAAATGGAACGGTAGTTGATGAATCAGATTGTTCTCTAGAATTAAAAAAAAAGGGATAACAGATTCTGCTTTCCAACAGGCTAGAAAACAAGACTCTGATAAGCACTTGTTAAATAGTTTTGAAAGGATAGGCGACAGCTCTGGAGAACACTTCTGCAAGACTATAACAGCTATGTTGTCTGGGCCACAAGCTGTAGAAGAACCTAAGCAGGAAATCGCTTTAGATACAGAAGCTGGAGTGATATAAATGTCAACCAATAGATCAACCTGTTTGTAGGCTATATCAGGTAGAACGCAACTAGTGGAATTAAGAGATAAGATTGATGAGAAGTTCTTAGTAAATAATTCAGCTTTATTTTTAGGTGAGGTGACAGAGTCTGAACTATACTAGAGAGGTGGAATTACAGATTTGCCCTTATTATTGATACAATTAATGATTCTCCAGAAGTCACTAGACTTCTGGAGAGAAGAGCCTAATTTTTGTGATGAAATACGAGATTTCATGACCTGAAAATAGTGAACTTTGGCATTAGAAAAAACCTTTTTACAATGGTTTCTAACTATAACAGATAAAACAGCTGAACTCATATTAATCTCACAAAGAGCAAGTAGGTCTGGTGAACTTTGCAAAAGAAAGACTCAACAGTAGAAAAGTTACTTCTAAAACCATGAATATTAGTGAATGATAGGTTTAGAGAACTTGGCGATGACAATGGTTTTTTGTGTTTTATAGTTTATGGTATTATTCATGTTTAAATTTGTTAAAGAACTTGACTTGATGCATAGATAGTACTGTTTAATAGCCCAAGCAATTGCCTCATTACTATTAATATATATATATAAATATATATATATATATATATATATATATATATATATATATATATATATATATATATATATATATATATATATATATATATTACGGCTAAAAAAACGTGTTTATGGTAAAAATTGGCTCTTTGCTTGTTTGTAGTTTTAAAGCTGACAAAATTTAGGTTTTTAAAAACATTCTGAATGTTTTTATTTTAATTTTTTAGCTGTAAAACATTAGTGGAGTGTTGCTACATCGACTATCTTATAGCCTGACTAGCAATCGAATGCTGCTACATTGACTGACAACTAGCCTGACTTGCAACGGAGTGCTGCTACATTGACGGAGGGTTCAGTTTAGGCAGGCAGTCTATCAAATAATTATAAAAAAAAATAATTCTCTGGTCTTTAAAATTAAGAAAAACCTAAAACTGACAATTTATTGTAAAATCTTAAAGACGGCCATGCAAGTATATATATATATATATATATATATATATATATATATATACATATATATATATATATATATATATATATATATATAATATATATATATATATATATATGTATGCATGTAAAATAAAAATTAAAACTCTTTAAATGATTTGTCCCCATTTAATTCTGTTTTATAAAATGATAATAAATAATACATTATGTTTTAGAATACTTTGTTTTAAACCCGGTTGTATTTTGTTTTAAACCCGGTTGTATTTTTTTAATTTTATGTGTAACATCTATTTCTTCGCACTTTAGTGGTTTGAGCGTTTTTCCGTAATGCTATTACGTTAAGATCAGTGTGAATCTTATAATTATGAAGTTGTAAAGTTTATTTATAAAAAAATAAATTCTTTATAAAGGTATTTTATAGTATCTTATAATTTTTTAGTTTGATCGAGATAGAAAACTTTTGGAAGAGCTGGGTTTGGATATTAAATATGCTGGTAAAAATTTTTTGATTTAATTTTTGATTTTTTGACTTAATAATGTTTAGTTAAAGGAAAAAATAAATAATAAATAATGAATTACAATTTTTAAGTAGAATTAAGTTATAATTTTATAAACTTTCCCTTTCTGTTAAGACTCATAATCATGCTGATGTTTGCATACTAAAAGTAAAGCTATTTTCTTTCAGTTAACACGCATTGTCATGCTGATCACATCACAGGAAGTGGTCTTTTCAAAAGTCACACAAAATGTAAAAGTATGATTTCAAAAAATAGTGGTGCAATGGCTGACATTTTATTGAGTGATGGTGATATTATATCATTTGGTGATCAGGTTGTTTTAAAATTTTAATTTATTATGAAACTTTTGTTTACATTTTGTAATTCGTCTTTCTTTTTTATTTTATTTTGCAGTCTTTACAAGCTGTTGCAACTCCTGGTCATACATCTGGTAATGTATTCTTATTAAAAAATATTTTTTTTTACAAAATATTTTTACAACTTGGTTTAAGTTAACAAATTTCAAATTGGTATTGCATTTTTTTTGTAGCAGCTACATTGTTTTTTCAGGGGATTGCTTTCTCATGTTGTTAGTTATTTTGAATTAAGAGAATATGCTTAGGGATCAATAAAAATATATGAATGTTTATACATTTTTTGCTTTTTGTTGCCATTTTTCTTTGAAAAAAGTTGAAAATTTTTTATATCTAACTTACTTTCTTTATCATTTAAAAGTTTTTACTAAATGTTTTTCTGACTTTTAAACTTTTCCTTAAAATCAGAGATAACTCATTATCTTTCACAATAGTGGAAGGTATAATGGCTTATTTACAATTTTATCTGTTTGTCGTTTTTTTAATATGTATATATATAGTAACTATATTAAGTTACATTTAACTAATGATAATTGCTCAGCAATCATTTTTAATTTTTGCAATTTATTTAAGGATGCCTAACATATGTTAGTTATGATGGCCGTTTTGCTTTCACTGGCGATGCACTGCTTATCCGTGGCTGTGGTCGAACTGATTTTCAGCAAGGTATATATAAATTTTATGCCCTAGTTATTAAAAATGTTGTTTTATTTATATATTGTTCTAGTTTACAAATATCTATATCTATCTATCTATCTATATATATATATATATATATATATATATATATATATATATATATATATATATATATATATATATATATACCATCCTCGGAATTAGGAAAAGTGAGGTCGGCAATAATTTGAATCAATAGATTGAATAAATTAAATCTTTTTGAGGTCGGCATCAGATCGGCAAAAATTATTTGATACAAAGGTCTGTAGTATATATATATATATATATATATATATATATATATATATATATATATATATATATACACACATACTATAGAGTATATAGATCAGCAATTGCTTACTAGTTTTGCTTATCTTTATAGCATAGGGTTTTTTCAGAAAAAGAAGAAAAAAACTAAAAATAATGAAAGATTGCTGCCTTATATCAAACCCTCAGTCAATGTAGTGGCTCTTCTTTGAAACAGCAAGCTATAAGAGGGTATTTAAACATATATATATATATATATATATATATATATATATATATATATATATATATATATATATATATATATATATATATACAAATAGTATTGCGTTCTAAGGTAAGCAATCTGACATCATACTGAAATAACCTGCTACTGGGGGAATCAGTACAAACATCGACTGACAAATAGCCTGACTCGTGGAGTGCTGCTACATCGACTGAGTGTTTGGGATGGGGCAGCAATCGTTTCATTCATCATTCTTCGTTTTTTCTTTTTTTTCTAAAAAAATGTATGGATTAAGGTAAGCAAAAAAAGTCAGCAAATGCTTATAAAAATACGCTTTCATAAGTGTATATATATATATATATATATATATATATATATATATATATATATATATATATATATATATATATATATATATATATATATATATATATATATATATATATATATATATATATATATATATATATATATATATATATATATATATATGGGCATTTCCATTTCTGTGCGTGATTTTTTATTTTTCTTTGTTTTAGCAATTAAAAGCTGGGACTTTATGCAATATGCATACTATTTTGATTTTCTTAAAGAACAATTATAACAAAAATATTTTTATCATATTTTAGATTATCTGAATAAATTGAACCCGTCATTTCGAAAAGGGCACAAGTCCATTTATTCAAACTTTTCAGGAGCAACAAAAATAAATTTATAAGAAAAAAAGTTTATGGTGCTAAAGAAACTGAATATAAGAGTAGATAAATAAAAGTCATACATAAGTTTTTAGAGTTTTATTTATTATAAAAAAACAATATAAAACACATATATTTTTAATTTAAATTTATGGACTTATGTCTTTTTCGAAATGAACACTTTTTTGTATATAAAAATTCAAAGATTATCAGAATAATAATGATTTATTATTACATAAAAATAATTATTGTTAGTTCATCATCACTTAATTCATTGTTTGTCGAAGTTGTTGGCCAAGCAAAAACCTTTGTATAGAAATTTTGGTACTCTTTTATTGAATATGGAATATATTTTTCTATTTTTTTCAAATCTGATATCTTTTTTTCATTGATAGGCAATTTTCCAACATATGCAGGAGTACTACTTAATGGTAAGGTTGGCCTTGTACCCATCCTTTGTAATAGCTGAAAATCATAACTGACTAAACAATCTATGGATTCATGTGTTGTCACTAAACCTGGTGTGGTCTTAGAGAATGTGAAATGTGACACTTAAGAAATACCAAAAGTAACTTTTTTGTCCTAGGGTACTCCTTTTCCATAGGAATCCACAAATAGCACAAGTTTCTTATAATGGTTTGGCCACCATTTTTTTAAATCAATAATATCTTCAGATTTGGGCCTTCTAATTTCAAATTTTTCGCTTGCTTCAGCTATAAGATTTTCATACTCTGTTGGTGTGTAAATCCGATCATTTTTTCGAATATGTCGCTTTGCTGTTCTAAACATTCTATCATTAGGCAAGAATGAGTGACCTCTTTTTGGTATGTAATATTGTATCTCATTTATATTGCTATTTAGTTCAGCTACCAGTGATAAAAGTATTCGGACCATGGCATGATTTCTTTGGCCTGCACAACCATCAGAAAATAGGTTCAATTCTTTGGCTTCGTTACCAATATTTTTAAAAATATAATCCAGTACAAAGGTACATACTTCGTTGGAACCTTTGTTAGCAACTCCTTCACAATATGAATAAAATACTGATTTACCAGTTTTAAAATCATATATGCAAAACTCATACAGCCATAGTTGACGTAAATAAAATATTTCCTGGACAGGGATATGTGGAAGTGGCAAATTTTGCATAAAATCAAATGCAATCCCATACACATTTGGATCGTTTTTGCACTTAGTTTCAACTTCCTGTATTTTTTTGGAAAATTTGTTTGCTTGTCTTTTGTGGATCTCAATATCTGCTTGATAGATTCTTTTTGCATTGTCATTAAGGTGTGGGTTTTTTAGTTTAATTTTTAACTCTTTGCACAGTCCACAGACATCTATTTGCTTTCTACCTAATGATAAACTAAAATTTTCTTGGAAAAATTTAAGGTAGAACTTATATTTAACAGGATGATCTAGATATTTTTGTGCGTATAACGTGTGCATAATTTTCACATTGAGTTTTTCATCCAAATAATAAGATGATGCATCTTTACTATAGTAGTGCACATATTTAACAGGAAATTGTTCGATATGCTCACGTAATTTTGTTAATGTATCTCCAAGTATTGCGTTGCATCGTGATCCCTGAGATTTACCTCTGTGATCTATAGGCTGCTCTTTTTTTTTAATAAAATGCATAAACGTCTAACTTGTTTCATAGAAATTCCATGCATACTGCAAAAAGCTTTCTTGCATACTTTTTTTTATCACACCTTCAACCTTAATGTGATAAATAAAAGAAAATTCTTTTTCCTTAGGTTCTTCAGATCTAAACCGTCTTCTCTTTATTTCCTTCTTTTCAATTAATGACTGCAAGCATGTGTCTTGGGCATTTTTACTATCAAATATGTTAACAAACTGAATTGTACTTTCTATAACATCTTCGAAGATGTTTTCTCAGTTATATAGTTTTATTTATTTACAGATGTAATTCAAAGTGTATGGAGCTTGTATTTGAAGCTTCAGATACAAGCTCCATACACTTCGAATTACATCTGTAAATAAATAGAACTATTGAGTTAATAATATAATAATTATATATCAAGATGTTTTACCTCCAAATATTGGTGGTAAAGCATGAGTAAATAAGCAAAAATTTGAGAACGAATATAGTCATTCTATATTATAGAACAAAAAACTAACCTGCAAGAAGCACCTGTTTGCCTTGGTGCCACATCGTTTCCTTTATGATTTTTATAAGCTTCTCCAACAATTTTGGCTTTTTTTATTTTTTCGTGTTTACTTTCACTGTTTCTTATACCAAACACTCTTTTTCTAGATTTATATGCATTTTCAGCAAGCTCGCGATTTTCCATTTTTGTTACAAATAAAGTGAGATTACGTCACTACAGTTGCGCTTCGTTTCACTTGAAAAAGGCATAAGTCCGGGACTTGTGCCATTTTCAAACAGACTTTAATTTTCATTTGCATTTTAAGTTGACTTGTGGCATATGAAAATGTTTCTCCTTCAAAGGGAATTTGTAAAACACTTGAATAAATAAAATTGCATTAAAAAGTGAAATTCGAAAAAAGTGTGACTTGTGCCCTTTTCGAAATGACGGGTTCAATTAAATATACACATTTTTACAATTTTATTTTTTTGAGTAATAATATCGCTAGATTTTAAAAAATATACAATAAATTTCAAAACGCAATACTCTAGCTAGAAATAATTGATGACTGCCATTTCTCATCAAAAATATATTAAATAAGAGTCGTAGAAGTGTAATATTTCACTTAAAATACTCACAAGCAATTTATTTTCATAAAAATAACTACATGAAATTGACAAATTCGCAACATCCGTGCATGACTTCCGTGCGTGATCATTCATAAACTGCATTTAAACGATTGCTGTGACTCTATGATTCATAGTGCAATCCTGTAACTTTCTGGAAATCTTTACTAATGTTTAAAATATTATTTTAAAAAAATGTATTCCGGTGAAACTTATATTTTCCGAGGAATTAAAGTTTATTTATCTAGTAACTAAAATAGAAGTTTTTCTGTTCCGTGCGTGATTCTATTTCAAACTTTATTTATTTTTTGTTAACATTACTAATGCTTACTATTTTTTGTTTACAAAATATTTATATTGATTAGAATTAAATGAGAGTAAATTGGAGATCGCTTGTTTCATTTTTATGAAAATAAAAGTAAAAACATATACGAATTTCTGTGCGTGATTTTTTGGAAATGCCCATATATATATATATATATATATATATATATATATATATATATATATATATATATATATATAAAATTGACTGTATCAGAAAAGTTGCAAAGTGATCTTTGTAAAATCCTTATAAACGCCTGTTTATAAAATGAATATTTCAATATTTCTTAATAAATTTTTCTAAGAAGGAAGCTTACATTTAAATGTAATTTCAGTAATTTATTTATTTAATAATTAAATATTTCTAAACACAAGAATTTATGTCTCAACAAAGATAAGATATAAAAAAAGCTAGTTTATAGAAATAATAAACGACTTGAGTAAATATAAAATATTTATAAAATACTATCCTAAATTAAATGTTATATTAAGTATATAATTATACTTTAAATATTCAAACAAAAAAAAGGCTTATATTTTTTAAAAGGCAACTATAAAAAATCATTTTAACAAATTTAGAAGTCCAATCATGTCTTTTTTGCTTCGATGCCTATGGCAACATTAGCTTGTTTGTATTCATTCCTACAAAGTCTAAGAATAATTTCCACAGCTTGAGCTCTTCTTTATTCTCATTACATATCATTGTTCTCACTTTCTTCACTCTTCTCAC